CGCCCCGGGGGCACCTGCTCTGCCGGCACGCGAGCACAGAGGGCCCGCATGCGCGGCGCGCGCGCACTGATTCACTGGCTGGGGGAGTGAGGGGAGCAGCAGGACGCTGTTCGATTAGTACCATCCCGAGAGAGGGTCGTGCCTGGCGCGACAAGTGCGGCTAACAAAATGATGGGGAATACAGTATGTCGCTGCCTTGTGCGTGAGCGCGGGCGCGACTCGACCTCAGCCGCCCGCACCGCTCACACTGCGGCTGTGTATGGATTGGACTCTGATGCTCCCCTTTCCTCCCCCTCTCCTTCCGCTCGCGATGGGTTGCCCCTCCTGCCCCGCGGAGGTCATGAACCTCGGCTGGAGCTGGTGCGAATCCGTACCGGAGCCAATGCCCCTCCCCCTCCCCCCTCCCACCCCTTTCCACCCGCGCGCCCCGCCGCACCGGAGCGCGAGGGGCAGAGTGACGTGGGCTAAAGTCGTCAAGCTAACGCGCACCGTCGTCGCGGCCGAGGTGTATCCAGTTACTCGCGACCAACGGAGGCCGGGTTAAACAAGAAGTGCAACGTTCGGCGCTTGTTGTCCCAAACAACGCGGCGGCAGCTGCAGACGTCGCCGTCGTTCCATCTGGCCTTCCGGCCCCTCTGGACTGGCCGTTGGAGTTTAGCGCCACGGCTGCCGCCGCTTTGGTACTTTGGCCCCCCCTCCCTTTCTCCCGGCTTTGCCGTCTGGTCTCCTTTCCAAAGCGCAACGGAGCAAAAACGGCGTCAAATGGGAAAAAGTTGAGCAGCGCGCGCCACTTGGCGCCGTCTTTTGCCGTTTTCTTTTCTTTTGATCGGGCGTCGTCGTCGTCGTCGTCGTCGTCGTCGTCGTCGGCTGGATGGAGGTTGTTTTTGTGTTAGTATATCGAGCCATAGGTATACGTTTATTTTCTGGCGTGATTTTGCCCGAAAGCTGTGTGGTTTGTGACCGTGGCCGGTGACTCAGCCGTCCGGATGGGCGTTGTGGTGCCTTTATGCAAAGTGCGACTGGACCGCTCCGCCCCGCCTGCCTGCGCGCGCTGGCTCGGCCCCGGTGCTCGCCTACCCTCCGACCCGACTGACATTCAGCAGTCCGAGCGGACGGCTTACGTCCCCGAATCGCCTTTTTGCTTTGAAACGTGCCCCAAATGTACCTCTGCCGTCCCTTTCCTTTTCCCCCCCGCGCCCGTTTGGGCTTCAGGTCGAACTGGAGCACTTCCCCTCTCTGCTGGTCCGTGCCTGGCGGGGCCTGGCATCCCGCCCCAGCCGCCCCAGCGGGCACGTGGTCGCCATGGCGACCTGTTTGTGGGGGAGGGGGGAGTCAGGTGTGCACGTGCCGCACCCGCAGGCCGCTTGCCTCGTCAAGGTTGCCTATTTATCCTCCCCGTCGTCACACCCCCCTGGTCGCGTTTTTCGTTACAGTGTAACTCGGCGGAGGGTAATTTTGAAATGGAGAGGTGCCTTGGCTGCGTCAGCCCCGCTGCTTGAGGCTCCGGAAGGGAGGGGCCTAGAGAGGCAGGAGGGAGGAAGGGTCCTCTTCACTGAGGCCAGCGCGGGCTGAGGCCGAGGCTGAGGCCAGGCGTGGGACCTGGCTGCCGTAACAACCCCCGTGCTTGCGTATGCGGGGCCGAGGCTGGGCCGAGGCTGGCCCGGGGAGGAAGGGCTCGGAGGAGCGGAGGACGCCTTGATTCGACCCCCCGAGCCGACGTCCTCCACTCGACCCACCACCACCTCCCCTTCTCCCCGGCGCCCCGGGGCGGTGAGAGGAAAGTGCAGCATTTCTGTCACGTTTGCGATCGGGGTCGCCTTGCTCGCTCCCCTCCGCAGGGGGTGTAGTGTGGCCCCCAGGCGCCCCCCGGCACCCTGCGCCACTTCACTTTGAGGAGTCCTTGAGCCCTTGAGCACCAGGCGTGGGTTCGAATACTACCGACGGCAGCTGTTTTTTTTCTTTTTCTTTTTGCGCTCTTGCTTCGGCGTCGGCGACGTGCACGGCCGAAGGGGAGGAGGGAACATTCTCATTGATCTGGCGGCGTCGCTTTGGCCGCGTGCCACGGGCCGCCGGGCCCGCCCGGCCCGACCGAGCCAGCGCGTCGCGGGGTTGGCTCGACTGTTTTGGGGAGCGGCGTGCTGGGGTCCAGGATTCTGCACGGCTCGGGTGGAGAGGCTATAGATAGAGGAAAAACGACGATGTGTGTATACTTGGAACGGCCGCGCAGTACACGGTTGAGAACTTTTTATTTCCGGGGGAAAACCCCCTTCGTTTTCAACTGTGCGACATCACCGTTTCGAATCTATTCGACGCAGGTATTGCGTCCTGTGACGACTCGCTTGATGGTAGTCGTGAAACTTTCATTGACAAATACGATGTCGATCTGCTTGAGGGCATGGATGCAGGGCTGCGGCCTGGCTGTATCGACCAATGGTTGCGGGCGTCCCCAGCCCCTGCGCGGATGGGGGTGGGCTGGCGGGGCGTGCTGCTTGTGGCATTCGCCGAGAGATGGCGCCTATCGCGGGCTGAGGAGGCAGCGGGGAGTCGCGAGGGGTGGGGTGCACTGTCAGAACCAAGGAAAAACTGATCTGGGTCTGTCTATTCCGTCGTTGTGGTGCAACATGGTCGACCCGCTAATCCGTTTCCGGATTTTGGTCGTTTCCTGCCTTTCCCCCTCAAGTATGGGCTTCGGGCTTCGTATTGATTTACTCGGTGGTGTGCGCCATGTGTCGGGATTGATCCGATAATGTCGTGCATGGGCATGAGCTGTCCGATACTCATGATGTGTTTTGTTCTGTTGCAGGTAATGCTCAGTGGTGTCTCCCCTGGGATAGCAATGGCGCCTCCAAACACTCAACTCAGGTTAGCTTACTCAGTGGAAACTTGTCTATTGAAATCAAATTACATTTGCGAGTTAAAATCGGCCTACTTTGTCGTCAATTCTAATTTAAATTCGCGATGTTTAAATTTTTACGCCAACTTACATACTGAGTGTAGAAGGCGAGCAAGGCACTCAGTGCCAACTATAGACAGTACTGGGGGGAAATCTTTGCGATAATTATAGCAGTTTCTTAAAATGTGTCATGTTACCTTGTTCTCTCTCATGATATGTCTGCATGGCCATATGGTATACGGTAGCTAAACAGCAGAGTTCCGGCAATTGAAGCAGCAGTAGAACTTCAGAAGGTGACTTACTTTGATGTGTGGGATTCTAGTTGTAGAGCATGATAATCTAACCATCTTAAAATGACTATGTACAAACTACGTAAAAATAACTGCAATGTATATTACTTGCTCCCACCTTTATAGATAAGCATGTCTTTGTACCTTACTCTTACAGCAATCCGTCTTCTAATTTTGCTAGTACTTGTAGTCCCTCTCCATAGCAACCAACAATGTGTGAGTGGCTTTTGTCTGCAATGTCTTTGAATTGATATGTCTGAGTATTTCCGAAGGTGTAACGTGATTTTTGTTTTTGAAAGTCAACGTAACTTTGCCGCCAATATTTTGACTATAAACTATAAACGTCGCTTCCTTTACTGATAATTCCGTTAAAATCTTTCACGGAAGTGGCTTTAACTGTGAAATTTTGTTAGGCATCCTTTTCGGTTTTAAATCTTTTATAATTGACTTTCCCTACTAAAGTAAACTCATCTATTGTCAAAGACTACTCATCTGTTTTTGGTAATTAGACTATTCACAGCTTTCAAGTGATTTGAATCAATGTGCAATGTACCATTTGCTCAGCTTACTAGCACTCAAGATGCGGGATTTGCGTAGCATCGTCTATCGCCGGTTCACTATGAAGCTAGCATTACTTGGGTTTTGATGCTGACTTTTTCTATTAGAAGGTACCTGGTATACTGAACTATTAGGTGTCTACTTGTGATTATTTCTGGAGGTTAATGTCTTTGGATTGGCTTGTTTTACTTTGCTAGTGCAACAGGATAAAGTGATTGTATTTTTCATGCAACTCATGAGATGTTTTATTTCTTATTTCAACTTCATGCCATGAGAGGCATGCCTTGTTTTATGGTCCGAGTCCAGACCTCATGAAATGCATGGTTCGAGCTTTACCAACATAATCTTTTGCTTGTTCTAGCTACAATATAATGTCAAACCCTGTCGTCCTAGACACCTTCTGAAGAGTCAGTAGAATAGATTTGCATTTCAGCGTTGGAGCCTCACCAGTGCTCTTTTTATTTCGTGGGTTGTAGATGTCTACTAGTAGTTCCATGTGCTTTGTGTGTGGTTTGGGATGGAGGATGTCAAAATTTAACGCTTATTTTGTAATATTTTGTGCTTCAATAATGCCTCGAATATTCACTAAAATTTTATGCCTTATGTAGTGATACGGTTTTTTGTCACACGTGTATTATAGTTATCTAATTTTATAGATGTTTAGTGGTCTGAAGTTTTCTGTCAGGTCAAACATATCTTTATTTTTTAAACTCTTGCATGCGGTTTACCCTTTTTCTTCGTGGGCACTGCTTTTGTTTCACTCGGGCACACACATGCGTCAATTGCTTCTATTTTTGCCTTTTCAATAATGTCGAGAACGTTGGCCATGTCCTCGTACGGTGAAATTGGGCAGACTTCCAAAAACTGCAACAGAATAAAAGCGAATTTTTAAGTCAACTATTTCAAGATTCGCGCACTTACAGTCTGTCGTTACTCGTGACAAAATCGTATCTACCCCAACAAACTATTTTGGACTAGACCCTCCATCCTTGACTTAAAAATTTAGGTATCAAGCGCGGGGTTCTGTCTTTTCTCTCTCTCACTTTCACTGCATGCTGCTTTTTAGTTGGTGTCGGAACTCAAGATTCAGGATATGATGCTGATTCCCCAGGTGTCCAGCTGAATCCACGGTGACCCTAACGATGTTTGTTGATGCAGCGTCGAGCCGGAGTACGAGAGGACAAGACAGATGAGTCTGCGGAGCGCCCCGTGGGGGTTTGGGGGCCCAAACAGGGTCGCCCCACGGGGCTCCAACGCCCGTCCGGGCACCCCCCAGGTAACCAGGTGCCTGAAGTAGTCGGACGTGCCGTAGCCTGCAGCGGTTGATTAATTTATCGATTGATTGTTTGGATTGATTGTTGTACCTTGCTAACACAGCGATCTGTTTACTAACCTCCTCTGACTGTACCGTACTGCTGTTGTGCACAGGAGGTGAGGCTGAAATTGGTTTTGTATTTGGTTTTGGTGTAGGAACCATAGCTAAAATGTCAATTTGCTTAACGTAACCATAATTGGAATTGAGCTTCCATTATTAGTCAGTAGATGTACAATTAAAAGGCTCAGATAATGGTTTATGATTATGGTTGTCCTTATGCAAGTTGGCAATAAGTCATTTTCAGTCTCTTTTTCCTGTTTGTGTATGTGTTGCGTGGAAAACGGGGAATCTCCGGTCTGTATGTTGTCTGGCTGGCTGGCTGTCTAGGATGCATGGTTAGAGTACACCTCATTTTACTGAAATCTCTTGGAACAAACTAAATCACTCTTATGTTTTTGGCGTTGAACCACTAAGACGTGAGTGGTCTCTTGTGTTTCTTTATGCTTATGGACCGTTAGTGCCGCTACGGTCTGTTGAGATTTGTTGTAATTTGGGGTGGCTATGTATCAAGTAGGGGGTATACTAACAGATTGGACCCTCGGGACCTGTCCCCTATGTCGGTGTGTTTGAAAGTGATTAAAGCAACCGGTCATTATGCCGTGCACCATGCCCTCCACGTAGTATGGGCAGGCTCTTTCCCCATGAACTTGAGATTGAGGATGGGTAGTCTTTGCTATGTGCAGGCCATGGTAAGTGGTTGGGTACTGTGTCCTGACGCTCTTAGCATTTAGCACTAATAAATCTGTGATAGTTTTTTCACCTCATTGTTGAAGACTTTAGGTAGTTAGCTGTAGTTTATCCAATGTCAAGGACAAATTGAGTGATTACACTTCAATGGATTGCAGTTTGTATCACAGAGGTTTTCAGAAATTTGTCATTTCCTTTACCTGGAGTGCTGTTTTATTTTTTTAATTTTGATGAGATCCAAACATCCTGTTAAAGTAGAACCAAACCAAGTGCCTAGGCTAGACCCAGTCGGACATGCATGTCTCTTTGGGCAGTAGCACCCACTCTCATGGGTTTTATCTCTGCAACAAATCAATGACTCAGTCCTTTCGGAAATTTCAACTTTGCAATATTTTCTGCACATGGGGGTTAAGTAGATCTTGAGAGGGCCTGTTTCAGGCAGCTGGTCTCTTGTTGAACACCTTCCAATTCTATTTGCTTTTCTGTGTATCTTTTATAGAACTGTACTGTAATCGTATAAGATTTTGAGCAAAGCACGATCTTGGCTGAATCTGCTAAATGCCTCTGTACATATTGGATTGTCTAAATTTCCGTTTACTTAATATTACATATGCTTTGCCTGGAATTTCCTAAATGATACAAGAAAATCCGTCTCTTTTCAATCCAATGACGTAATTCCGATGAGTTAGTTTACTGTATTTGGCTGTGCTGTATTATTGAAAAGAAATAACTATTCCACTCTTAGATTCGAATTTTTGCTTGGTGCTGCAATCGTATTGATTGCTTGATTGCTGAGCTCGTCTTTGTTAAATAAATA